ATGATCATTACCCTGGTGGCAACTTTTAGGAAGACAATCACATCACGGATTATTCGTATCCATGTGATAGGGCTAATGATGTTTTGTCTGGCCTCGGTAGTAAGTATTGACTAGTTATTTCTTGTCCTTGATACTGAGCTGAATCGTGTAGCACGTTATGTCTAACATCTATCAGGTACTCCGAGGGCTCAGCGGTGGGGGAAGTATTCTCGGAGAGTTGAATAGCCCAATATTTCTACTTCAACAAGTCATTTCCGGGACCCAGATCTTTCTTGCGGATGCATTCTGGGTAAGTATTTTGTATCTTGATAAGCCTATACTTATATTGTTCAGCTATATCGGCTTCACATAGTTTGGGAGGGCGACAAACGTGTCACTTACCCCTTCGCATGTCTTCTCATTTCAACAATAGTTCTTGGAGTCTACTCCACGGTTCGTTGGGTAATAGGAACAAAGAATGGTGAAGCCTCTATTCCCCATGAAACACGGATTAATAGTATCGCACTCCTGGTCATGGCTCTGGCTTCGAGCATTGGGTTTACTGGTAAGTTCCAGGCCTTTTCACTTTCTCATCACAATAATGGACTGTGTCAATCAGTTCTCATTACATACCGCGTGTGCTTGGTCAACCGGAAAGTGAAGCAGTACGATGACGTGGGGCACGCTCGCAGCATGCTCAAGTATTTCATCACATTGGTCATTGAATCTGGCGCACTATACAGCGCTTTCTTGCTGCTCTACTTGATATCGCTCGTGCTCAATAGCTTCATGAGCACCATCCCTAACGAAGCGGTGAGTCTGAGAGTCTATTGGAAGACATTGTTATTGATGGCTGAGTTTGCAGATCATACAAGTTGTGGTAAGTTGACAATGAGGCGACCTCACCATGCTCACGATTTCACTAGGGAATCGTTTACTACATGATGCTGTTTCATTCGACGCTCCCTCTCACAGAAGCCATAGACACAAACACAAACGAAATCTGGGAACCGCACTCTCAAGGCTCCTTCGAATCCACCGGTAGTCATATATATGCTGAGAAATAGAAGACTGAAGAGGAAGGCAAAGTATAATGGTTTGAACATTCAAAGCTTTTGTGTAGACCCAACCTGAACCTTGATCTGTCCTGTACTATTTATTAATCAAGGTGTTTCCGAATAAGCAAAAAGAAAGGCGTGCGATATATCCAGTGAACTCGACAATGGACATGTCCGCGAGTCGGCTCCTCTTGCCTCTCTAATTCATCATCTCTACTCTCCAGCAACCCAGTCCGTCTCGTGTCCATTAACCTCGGGAACCGCTTGATTGCAAAGCCATTTTACCCAGGGCGCTTGCGATTAATGGTTTGATCACTAAAACTCGGAGCAAGACGCAGAATCACGGGACATTCTACAACGTGTTGATCTTCTTTCCTTCCGTGATGGACCCATTCGACCCCAACGACCAAGATTCTATATCAGAGTACCGCGATGCAATGTACCGCCTCCGATACGCAGCTTGGGACAAGCCTTTACGCGTAGGGCAGCTCATTCAGCTATGCTTGAAGCAGCCTACAAAGTCAGTCCACGGACGAGACCTTCCCAAGCTGCCTTTTGGATTCGAACATGAATACGTCCTCAGAAGGCCTCTCCAAAACGATCCCGTGAAGTTTCAGCCTCGCTCTTACGTGTGGATAGCTGTGCCCTTCATCCCAGAAGTTCCGGGAACGGAGGTAGTATTGAAATTCATTCCGCCTTCACATCAAGCACTTCCGGGAAAGGATATCGTCCCACATCGATGGGTACCTCCAGCGATAATCACTCAGTGTCAAGCGGAAGCATATGAACGACTTGATTACTTACAGGGAGAGTCGATTCCTTATTGTTTTGGAGGATTCGAGGTGCGTAGACTATATGCGCGTTAGATTCGGATGAAAGCTGACGTTGTAGGGATGCAAGGATATTGAGACACCCTGGGGTGAGAGCGTATATCTCATTGCTATGGAATATATACCAGCGCCGTTCGTCGAGTCTGTGGACGCTATTGGGGATACTACTGTTTTCCTCGACATTGTAAGCAAATCAATCTTCCAATGAACTGCCTTCTACGTATTACTGACCACTCACAGCTTCAATCCGCTGTTACAGCGCTCCTCTCAGCCCATGAAAAAGTCATCGCCCACCACAATCTCGACGAAACAAACGTTCGCTTCGACGCGTTCAGGAACAAGGTGGTGTTTATCGGTTGGAAGAACGATCTTGCATACAACAATTCTCGCAGCGCTTTTACTTCCTCGTGTATGGACGATACATGTCGTCTTTTTCACTTGTTCTTTCAGTACAAGGTTCATAGACAAGATATGACAAGGACAATTAGGGAAAATGCGTGTTTGCGTGAGGTGTTCAAACACAGTTGGAGGCAATGGGAAAAGTAGGTAGACCGAGTACAGACAGCTGCAGATGACGGGTATGTTGATGAGCCACGTTAGGTCGATTATAGCATGCGATAATTACTTCTGGCGTGTGTACCGCAGAATGCCCCCACAAAATCATCTGTCCCGACTGTTTTTATTCTGTATGACACTCGTAGCAGAAAATCTTGTGTGAAGGAAACCCTGAGCATATTGATATTGTTCAGTCGCTGATGTGATACAAGTCTCACCCAATTATGATGGCGATAGAAATAGACCTCAATCGCGTTTCGACAGCATAACAGGGTGCCTACCATGTAGCATTTAGCATTTAGCATTTTGGCCCCATGCCGAAATGCCATTGATGCACCCCCTTTTGTTAGAATCTCAAAGTGGCGATGCACATGTCGGAAGAAGATGACATGTTAGGAATCGAGTGCTGATAGAACGCCTCGAAAACCTGTAGCGGAAAAAAGATGTGTCAATATAGAGCGTCATGGGTGACTCCTTAAAATTTTGTCAAAGCTGAATCAGTCACAGGACGGGTACGACGAAAGATATTCCTTCGCATGGTGCCGATACTTACGTCCTAAACGTACAAGTATCACCTACCTCAAGAATTACAGCCAAGCACGAACACTGCCATCGGGTACTTTGTCGACAATATGAGCTGCATGCCCAAGACTTTGGTGCTGTTTCATTGTTTCGGTATAATTCAGCTTGTCTTTATTGGGGTTGTTGTCGGGTTCCACGGTTGAGATAGAGCCAACAGTCTTCGCAGACTGAAACGAAGGCGTTTCAGTCTCGATAGTTCCATGACAGAGGTGCAAGTGATAATATCAGGAAGCTGTTGTAACATTGTCCACTTTATAAGCGAAAGAAACACTGTCAAGGTATCATATGAGCCAGTAATACGAGCAAATCACGCAGCAAAACGACCTACAGAAATCAATTTATTTGGGTGTTTCATCTCCGGCTGGTATCTAAAGGCAATCTAGACCTGAAAAGTTATGAGGTTTGAAGCTTTGAAGGTTGATTGCTGGGAACGGTGCTGACTCGCTCGGACAGGTTGACCCTCACATTCTATCCAACGTATACCTGATGTTGAGGATCTGTGTCGTCGAAGAAGGGTACTGTGAGGCTGCGGGTACTGAGAAAGGAGAAAAACAAGGACGATGATGGCTGTTCAATTGAAAGGAACGCGCGTTACGCAATTGGCGAAGGACTTGTGACGAGTGTGACTGTCACACCTTTCCTCGTCGTTTCGCGTCCATCGTTGGTATCCTCAAGCTTCGCCTTGTATCCACGGTAAGTCTTCCAAACTTGGGCAGGTAAAAGAACAAATTCTAAGCCTCCATATAGTCGCGGCATAGACCCAGAATCAAGCTCCTCAGTACTCACCAGACGTCCACTTTTTCAAACTCATTGACTACTTCAACGCCTTCATCTCTTGTCTTTTGACCTCCATCCTTCCGCAAACATATCTGGAACGAATAGAGGCCTGTTATCTCACCGCCTTCTGCACCTTCGCCCTTGAAAATGTCCGCCTTCCTCAATATCAGCTCTGAGGATGTGAAACAGCTATGTACGCTTTCCGCTCCTCCCACCTGGAAAGAACGCTGACCACTTGTCTACAGGTCGAATATCCTACGCATAAGGAAGATTTTTTCACTCCTTTTGACTCTGTGCTATGGGTACCTAGACGCGTTCACCGACATATGAGGGATCTCGTTTATCTCTAGGACCTTGGTACGTGTTACATCTCTCCGAACTTGCTAGTACTAATCCCTATCCGTTCCTCATAGCAATTCAACTCCGCACTAAACCTCTGCCTCTATCTTCCCTACGGTACCTCGAGCTCCCTTTTCCTACCACAACGTCACACTCCCACGTCGACCTCGCTCCTCTCCCACTGGACGCGCTTCTCCACCGACTACATGCAGAGCCGTAGCATGAATCAAAGACAATGATGAACGTATTCTCCCCGCCACTTCCGCGTAACAAAACGCCCACCGTCGGCCTGTAGGAACACTAGCGCATGAAGACAGTCCAGGGACCTTAGTACGTCATATCCCTCTCCGAATCTGCTTGCACTAACGCGCATTGTATAGCTCCGGGTCCATGCCACTCAGTAATTCAACTCCAGACGCCCTTTTGTTACCTCGACGTGATACACTACTCCCGCGTCGACCTTCCTCCCCGCTGGACTCAGCTCTCCGCCTCCTTCAACGTCCGTCTTGCCTTCTGCTTGACAGCAGACAACAGCACCGTATGATGTAGGAAGGATCACCGAAAATGACCAGGGGCTGCCGTTACGTGCGTTCTTCATCACTCCCATCCAGATACAGCGCTTACCATTCGCCTATAGGAACACCCTCCCCCGCAGCTTTAACCCACAGAACTTCTCGACGCCGCTAGCTACTGTCTGTTCTGACCCGGGAAGCTGGTACGTCACCGTCATGCCTCTCAGCGCAGCTCGCCGATACTAACCCCGACCCATGCTTCCCAGACCACGGATTGGAAAAGACATTCCAGCAACCTACATCTGATTCTTTCCTTTCCCTCTCCGGCTCCCCCCTGCTGTCAACGCGTACACGAGGAACCGAAGCATGGTTCGATGGCGTAGTTGGTTATCGCATCTGTCTAACATGGCCTCCAGTAGTTGTTGCACAGAAGGTCCCCAGTTCGAGCCTGGGTCGAATCACTTGTTTGACCATCATAACGTTTTAGTTCCTCGAGGGACCCTGGTCTCCTCGCGCTTTATGTTAGTTGGATCGGGCTCATGGTGTAGTTATCACATCTGCCCCCAGCATGAGTGCATGTGAAGTAATGTATGCGGGGGTCGCTATTTGGAAACAACCACAAAGGAATTTTCTAGAAAGTGCACCCAGCTATCAACAGCCAGAACGGGAGAACGGGAGAACGGGAAAAGGGGAACCGGCGCGCTCAAGCAGCCGTCTCGATATCAAATCGGAACTGGGTACATATGAAAGCTGCTCGACGGAAGGCTGTATCAGGAATGGTTGAAAGGCATGATTGGATCCAGCATTCTCCTTCTTCGGTCGCATCCAGTGTCGGAGCAAGGGACCGAGCACCGGGGTCAAACCGAAGCCGGATGGATGTGAATGCCACTGAGCAGACGTGTTGACACGTTGACATTCTCACAAGGAATAGCCATCGTATTATCCGGTCTTTAAACGTCCTTTTTTTATCCTGTATGAATCTCAGTCTTTACGGCTATCGTTCTTTTCTTTCGTCCGTTCTTTAGCTCGCGTTTAGTCTTGACATGTCTTTATCATGATATTACCATATGCGTAATTGGGAACTTGTATTCATTCATTCGACTGTAGCTACTCGCCAGCGCTGGAACTGAGTTTGGAACTCTTTTCGTTCTGCACCCGTAACACTGGTCCAAATCCAAAGACTTATTTCGATATATATCGTCACGGGTACAATTCAGCCACCGTATCGGATGCGAGTAAGTAGCCCTGGGCGACGCCGAGTCACCCGCAATATTATCGCACAGCACGCTGAACAATCAGTAGATACGAAGAAATCAAGGAGTCCGTTCTGGAAAAGAATATCCCGTAACAGGTTTTGTCTTCGGTGTAGTTCTGTGGGTTACAGTAATAATCGTATTATGTCGAGGCTAGAGGTTGGATTGGCAGGGAGAGGAAAGACAAGGAGAGGTTTATGTAGTTTACAGGCGTCTATTCTCAGTCTTATGCATCATGTTCTTCAGCGTACTCACTGTACGCTGCACGAGTCGGGATCGCCCTGTATCAATGTCCAAGCCATCTATATGATCAAGTTCAAGTTGTTGCCCCCACTACGAGCAATTTCTCGTGGTGACGCTCTTCCATTCAAGACCACGCGCTAGACGGCTCTCATGGACCACATTTCTATGACAAATAATTGACCTGTTCGGAACCAACGTGATGTGAGGTGACATCGTCTCACAGCTGTATCCCTGGCATACAACCTGGCATATAAAACCCCAAGATATGTACGTGATACAATCCAATGGTCGATTCGCGTGTGTTGCAGGCCGTGAAGCTCGATGTGCTAGCTGCATTCATTGAGTGTATACTTTACGGTAGGTTCAGCTTTGATCCAGAGTAGTGGGTGTTTATTGACCAGTCGATAGGTGGATTTCTGGTGCTTATGATCATTACCCTGGTGTCAACTCTCAGAAAGAAAATCACAATCCAAGTTATTCGTGTCCATGTGGTGGGTTTGTTTATGCTTTTTCTGGCCTCGATAGTAAGTACTTAATGATTCCGGGCTGTCTCGTGGTACTAATGGTGAACGGCATAGCACATTATTTCTAACGCCTCTCGTATGATCAGAGAAGTCAGCAACGGCGGAAACTTTCTCGAACAGTTTAGTAGTCCCATATTTCTCCTTAAACAAGCCGCTCTCGTCCTTCAGATCGTTCTTGGGGATGGATCTTGGGTATGTTTCTTGTGTGTTGGGACGAGTTTAGGCTTATACCAGTCAGTTATATAGGCTTCACATTGTTTGGGACGGCAACAAACATGTGACTTACCCCTTCGTATTGCTTTTCATCTCCGCAGCGGGCCTCGGAGTTCACAGCATCATTTCTATTGGAAAAATACAAGCCGATATTGGGAAGTCCATTCCGCCTGAAATAAGGACCCCTGTAACTGCTAGTGTTGTTATCTGGTTCGGTTTCGGTTCGGTCTGGTTCCATGCCAGTTCCAAATCCTGGAGGATGTCGGTTTCGGTTCCGGTTCCAAGGCGGTTGCGGTCTGTGACCGGTCTGAACTGGGACCGGACTGCAAACCATACCGGTCTGAGGATAACTCAGAATCCACTCCCTAAAAGTACAAGGACACGCACAATTTTTTTTGGAATTGATGTCGTGAAGGCGTAATGCCTCAAGGGGATCTTATTTCACCCCAATATAGGGCAAGCTAGGGAGAGAAACAGTCCAGAGTCAGCTCACGGTACACGGAAATATGTCCATAGGAACCATTCAACATAGGGATGCACACCGTACCGTCCATGGACATGGCCATATGTGAAGGGACCGTTGACGAACACGCCTACTTCAAAACCGTCCGTTTGCTGGGCCCGTCCAAGTTTCGAACAGGAAGGCACGGTCGCAAGAAGATCAAGAACGGCCACCAACAGGTATTCGGTAGGTCTATATAATTTTCTATGCAATCAATGTCTGTTGATCCACATTTTCAAAGGAAAAGACTCACTGAACACTTTGCACGTTGAGTCCGTTGAGTTTCTCAACAGTAGATGGCTGTGGCGTGGCCCGTTGATGCTTCTCCTCTTCCTCTCCTCCAAATTCCTGACGGGATAGTGACACAATCACAGCTACCCTCTGATGGCATCTATCACTCGTCGAGAACAGGTACGATGGCGCATCCCCAATTGAGCATATCCAAGAACCAGCAACCACGCCCCGCAAGACGCCCCGACCATCACTGTGTGCATCGATGATTTCAAGTTGGTCATCGCTCGTACTCTTCCGCCTCCTAGTACCTTCTTGGTAGTGACTTACCGGATGGTGTTCCAGATATATATCAAGAAGAATGGTCAGTGAAGCGGTCCTAGGTGAAAGAGACGGGCTTTGCTCGAGTGTGCAACGACATTTTGGGTGACCTCAAAATGTAGCTGTCCGAACCGGTTCCAAACTGGTTTTGCCAGTTCGAACCGCAGTTCCATAAATTCACGAATGCTGGTTCCGGTTTCAGTCTTGGATGCAGTCCCAGACCGAAACCGGACCGAATGAAACTGGTTAAACCGGTCTGAACCAGAACCGGATAACAACACTAGTAACTGCCACTGTGGCTTTGGCTCTGGCTTCGAGCATTGGGTTCACCAGTAAGTGAACATCCTCGTCAATCACTTATATCATGACCAATAACTGTGTCAATCAGCGCTTATTGCTTTTCGTGTGTACTGCGTAAAATGGAGAGTCAAGAAGTACATATCCAGTAGCGGTCTGGGCCAAACTCGCAACATGCTCGGAGATTTCATCACGTTGGTCGTTGAATCGGGCGCAATATACACTGCGTTTTTGCTCCTCTTCTTGATATCAGTAGTGTATGACAGCTCCGTGAGCATCATACCTAACGAAGTGGTGAGTGTAAGAGTATGTTAGAAGAGAGTCTTACTGATGACTGAGTTTGCAGATCATACAGGTCGTGGTAAGTTCAACCCCAAACGACAGTACCATCCTTACAATTGTGCCAGGGAATTGTTTATTACATGATGCTATTTCAGTCGACACTCCCTCGAGAGAATCACTACCCACAAACACAATCAAAAACCTGGAGCCGCATTATGGGTCACGCAGAAGATGTAGAAATATGTGTAGAGGCTCCGCGACCGGTAGTTGTACATGTTGCGAAGTGGAAGAGTGCACAGGAATGCATAGTATAATGTTTTTGACTACTCAGAGGGCTGGTAGTGTTGTCTTTGACACTATAGCATATCGTCAACCCGTCTGTGATGATGTTGAACTAGTGAAGACTGATTGACTAGGCGTAGAGAAGAGAGAATAGCACTCACCGCGACCGATACCTCACCAATCACGCAAATCACGATGATCCTTTCCATACTTCATTAACGCGACTCGAGCGTCGTATATGTCATCAATGGATCAAGACGAGCCACCACCAGTCACTCACAAATGACACCAGAATCTCCTTTCAATGTTGACGACAGGAGACCTAACGATACCATTATGATAGGCTAATGCCCATGACCTATCTGCTAGAGAGTCATGTTTCCCCTTGTCGTTCCGCATCCATTATCGGCTACCCTATAGGTTGTCTTCCATCTGTAGGCATCAACTTTTTTCAATTATACCTTGACCATACCCACCACTTAAAATCTTGAATGCCTTAATCCCTAGTCCTTTGGTCTCCATCCCCATCTCTGACGGGCATATCCAGTGAACTCCATCACACAAAAGGGCAAATAGATATAGCGCCTTACCGGTAGATATGACCTCGAAGACCTGTGTACACTAGTTAATGAAAGTATTAACCCGGAAACAACTTTGCTAAACTGATAGCAGTTAGTTATGAATGTTATGACCTTTCAGTAACTCGCACTCGCCGGTTATCATAGAGTTATGGCCAGGTCATAACCATCCCGTTACCTGCAATCACCGGTTGTGGTGGTTATGACGGTTATTGGTGGGTATAGCCAAAAATTGGAGTCGTTGTGAGTGATGTTGGTCAAGCCGGGTTGCTCGGAGCTCTTTCGGGGGTTTCAAACATGAAAATCACGTGAGGCAGCCACCGTGAGATTTTAGGTTACCTTGCTTGTCAAGGTCTCTCCCGAATGATTTGCACTTTCCCACCCTTCTAACCAAATAAAGCCAAACAATATTACATCAGACTGTCTCCTCGCTCAACGCATCCCAACCAAATCGCAACTCGCTACTCGCTTTCGTCTGTTTTTCTGGTGAGTTTTCCCTTTCCTCATCTTGCTGTATTCATCTAATTCCTACACTTGTTGTCCAGGTGTAATTATCTCGTCGCGGATCTGCTCGGCATATTGAATTCGTAGTCATCATACATCTGGTACGCCCGATATCGTTTTGACTCTTTCTTTGTTTCTTATGCACGATGATGTTTAGGGATCTTGCCTCAAAGTACGACGTCTCGAATCTCACTACGTATCAGTTTCCCGATATCACCTCTTAGAGCCGGT